GGTCATTAATACCCCGAGGGGCGGGATTCGGGTCGCAGCCCCGGCGTCCCGGGCTCTATTTGGAGCTCGGGACAGCCGAGGCTCAATTCTCATCTCTCTCCTTCCTACCTCTCAACCACCATCTTCACCGAGGGGGACCCGACCCAAAGACCCGACAAACGACCGGCCACCGAACCCGAAGAGCACCCGGACAGCTGCCACAGGCACCCCCGAAACCCGTTTGAAGCAGGAGACCCCACGCACGCCCGATTCACCACTGATCCGGTCCGATCCGATCCGATCCGGAACGCAAAAATTGGTACCTGGGGTAAAAAATTGTAAGGATGAATTTTTTTGGGGTCTCAACCCCCCCCCAAGGCCCCAAACCTTATGTTTTTTTATTTTTTGTTATTTTTTTGGGCCTCCTTTGGCCAAAACGCCCCACAAGGGGCCAATTGCAGCCCCTTGGCCACCACGAAATGTTGTTTCGTCTCCGCCCCCCCAAAAGGGGCCAATTCTTTTGTTTTTTTTGGTGTCTCCAGGGGACAAAATGTCTCACAAGGGGCCAAATATGGCAGCCCCTTGGCCAGTGGCCAGCATGTGGCCAACTATCCACCTTGGGGGTTTCTGCCCCCAAGGGGCCTGTGTTGCAATGGACCTCTAGGACCCTTTTGGGTCTACCCACGCCGTCAACAGCCCAAGGCCGGTTGGAGACGCCATTTTGGGTCTTTGCAGGCTTGTGCTCACACACTGCATTGGCCCTTTTGGCCCCCAAATCCCTATGGGATCAGGTGTAGAGGGGGTTCCCAGACAGTGCCCCTGCCCTTAATTATTTCTTTGACTGACCACAATTTTGTTTCTCCTGCAATCCAGGTCTGAACCCTCCGCTGTCCTGTGACCATTCATCACAATCACTCAATTTCTGTGGGTATGTTGTCTTGCCTACTTGGCCCCCTCATGGTCACCACAGGGCTGATTTGTTGTTACTGATCTAATTATGCCTTTGGGTTCAGATTCACCAAGATATGTCTGACAAAACCTCAAATGCATTGGGTGGTGGTTACAACCATCACCGCCCGATCTCAGCGGCAACAAACAACCAAGAGAGCCAACACAACTCCGGCCCCCCGACAGGCAACAGCCGACTCATTCCCTCCCTCCCGCACGCTGTTGGGGGCACCCCAGGTCACCACATCTCAAGGCAAAGAGACCCCTCTGGGGCTCAAGCCCATGATGGGCAGCCAGGCACCCCCCCTGTGTTCCAATCACATCCTGGCGGAATGTCTGGAAACCACTCCTGGCAGCCATTGTTGGCCCACGCTGGCCATCATCCAATCACCTACTCTGGCCCGCCACAATATCTGACTTACTCTGCACCAATGAGCTACATGGCGCCAACATCCTACCAACACTCCGGCCCGGTATACACTGGCCAACCTCATTACCCCTACTCAGCTGCTCCACAATCACACTTGGCCCCCATGGGCCAACCTGCCCCGCCATACTATCACCATCCGTCAATGCCGATATACGCCCCGCCCCCTTCTCAACATATGTTCTTTCCTGGTCACTCCGAGCCAACCTATTGGCCAATCCAGACAAATTCCCCTCATCCACCAGTCAATTATGCGTCCCGCCCCAGTCGAGCTGCAACATTCAATCAGCCCAGCAACACACCCGCCCCCCAACAGCCGTTTACTAGCGGGGTTGACTCCAAGGCATCTGTCCAGACCGGCCAGCAGCAAGGTGATCATACGGTTGGCGATGGGTCCAATCTGGGTACGCTTGAAGTACATGAGGGTCAAATCGAAATTGACACACATGAGTCCATTCCCAAAGAGGGATCTCAGTTCAATGAGCCCGGGGCAAGCGGTGCAGATTTGGGTTGGGACTTGGGGATTGAAAGCGCCAATTTCCACGAGCTGAAGTCATCTTTCTTACCGCATGGTCCAGCTGAAATCGATGCCTTGGCTCCGGAAGGCGCTGATGTGTGGCGTTTGGCCCCCTCAGAAACTTGCCCAGTTGATAGTACTGTGGCTGGAGGGCCCATTATTGCTGTTGAACAACCGACTTCTATGGGGCTGGATCTGGAGATGGGAGATGGTTTGGGATATGTGGAAGGTGGGTTTTTTTTTCAAGAACTTCTGAGCTGGTATTATGTGCAAGATGGTTTTGACTAATCTCATGTCGCTTGTTTTCCTCAGGGGGCAGCCCTGCAACAGATGAGGCTCTGGAGGCCCCACTATCGGGGATGCAACTCAATAATGCAGGGGGCTCAACAGTTGAAGGGGTCCCGCCCAGTGGTCGAGTCTTGACTTCACTTGATGTGGACAATTTTGACTTTAGTGTGGGGAGTAAGTGGGAGAGGTTACTTAACTAATAATCTGTCAATGGCCTGATTTTGACCTCTGTGCCTTGAAGATCCAATGGATCCCCCCCCTCTATACAGATTCCACGAATACAAGGACCTGAAGAGGTTTGCCAAGAGGTGGGCACGGGCACACAAGTATAAACTTGTAACAGGCAGCTCAAAGACAGGGAAGAATGGGTACTTGAAATGCTCGTTGGCGGGAGAGGATAGAAACAAGCCTGATACGAATCGACAACGGTTGTCTCGGAACAAACGTATTGGATGTAGATTCAGGATCTCTCACCAGGGGAGTTTGCTCAGCACTTGCATGCAAGTGCCATCGCATAGTATTCTTCTGGAACCCTGTCAGATGTCTCTTGGAACCTTACCCTCATTTGATGCTGAATTTATGTTGAATTTATGTTCAATTTATGCTGAATTTCTGCTGAACTTATGCTCAACTCATCTGAATTCATGTTGAAAACAGGTTGCATACAACTTTGAACCATCTTCAACTTGACTATATACATAATTGGAACTCTTCTAGAACTACATCTGCAGGGACAGGCATTATGTCAGTTTGTTGGTAAAAATTAGATTTTTCAATGGTTTAATTATAATTTGAAATGCTGTGTACAGACCAGATTATCATTCAATATTTTTATGGACTAAACCAATATTTCAAATACTCTGCAGAATACACACCATAAACTAGTTAGGTTAATTTACAATGACTGGCCCCAAGTACTAGGATAATAATTACATACTTTCATAGACTGCCATATGAGAATGTCACTGGTGAAACTTGAAATATAGTGATTTGTATGTGCATATCTGAAGTGATAATGATGGATTCATATTACAAATGTCAACCCAAGGTAATAATTTGTAAAATTCAACCACCTGAATAACACCAACCAATTTTTCCAATCCAAGTCTGTTGGCTTTGACCAGTGGAAATTTTTTGTGGTCAGTTGTAAAAGTGTGGATAGTAACCTGAAGAATTAAAAAAATAAATATATTAACAGCTTGTTTCAAAAAATCAGCTAAAACATGTTGTGTTTAAGCCATATAACCAGACTGTATCAACACTGAAAATTTTCAGATTTTGCTTCTTGGTTTTTCTCCAAAGTGCTTAATATCAGCTGAGGCACTGTGCAGAAACTGAATTCATCATGATTAGTATGGGTGATCTTCCTGGTGGAATAACACATGAAAGCAAACCCTAATTTTTTGTTTTGGAAAATGCAAATAATCTTATTTCCATTGCAGTGTCTTTTGAAATATGCTTTTGTCAGTTCAGTTTGGATGTATACAAGAAGCATAGATTTTTTATGCCCTAATAATTCTTCTCATGGCAATTACAAATCAGAATATTTATATGGATATACATAAATATCACCAAAGGATTGTCCAGAAAACAGAGAGCAGATTTTAAGAATTTTAAAGCCTTTAAACTATTCAAGTGATGGATGGGGCTATGAAAAACCGGAAGTTGAACTGCATCATATTTTTTCAAAACCAGGTTTAAAACAATTTGGAGTGAACCACGAGTTCTGAAACAAAAGGAAACGAAAGTATCAGAACTTAGTTGAGGTCAGTGGTTGTAGTATGGAATACGTATCTATCACTGGAGACCTTGAATTGTGAAATCATAGAAAAATTGGAGAAAAAAAAAAAGTAACAGTCAAAAAAAAGCTGAAATGGGAAGAAAACAAAGGATATGAGGAAAACAACTGAAGATGATAGCTAGGAATATAAAGGTAGTTCATTCATTTAAGTTTTTTTTTCTCTTTTTCAACATGTTTTTCAGCATCTGCTATTTGTATCTTCTGGTCAGCTATAGTAGTATCAGAGTTAATGTGTTCAACAACAGCATTAGAAATTATTTGAGACATCTGGCAAGAGAAACCAATCCTCGTATACTTATCAGATAGTAAAGCACCATCCATATTCTGATGTAATTCTTCCTGAGATCTGAAGACACGCATGGTGACCACTGCAACCTCATTCGGGTCAATATAAACCTGAAAATCACAAAAGTATACTGACCACCAATCATATCCAAACTCTTGTCAGCTAAAATTGGATCATCTTCTTTTGAAGATTGGAATCCAGCAGACTAGGGTCCAGGTTTTGATGTCAGTGTCTTGGTGAGGTTTGCTGTAGAATTTGTACATAATGAAATTTGAGAAAGAATCAAAGTCAAACATAGTGTAGGGTGCATGCAAGCCATTGAAGGGAGGTTGCAACCGATGAGAGCTTCACGATATTATTTAAATGCATGAGGGTCCAGTTGATCAAGGTGGGTAGCAATCCATTCATTAGCCTCCTCAAACACAGATTCCTTGTGCTTGAGGTTATATTGAGACCTCCTGATCATACCAGCCATTAATTTTATTGAACAATATCTTTCAGAACCTTTGTTTTTTTGTGCTTTTCCGCCAACCACAGGCCCACATTGTATCACCCATGTAAGGTCTGTTGTTTTTCACTGGCACAAAAAAGTTGGTTTGTTGGAGGAAAAAGAAAACCAGTTTTTCCCAACCTTGAAGTTCATTGGACGGCATAAAGAAGACGGGAGTTGTTTTAAATTTTCAGACGGCCAGCTTGTTTCGTGGGGAAATGACACAGTACAATTGAATAGGCCATGATAAGAGGACAGGAGTGTCTTTTGAGAGGCAAGAATCTCAAAGGAGTCTTTATCAAGTTGATGGATTGGGTACAAATTAATAAAAGGTTTTTTTTGGAAGGATCAGCAGTGGTGATGTTTTTGTCTAAATCTGACGCTTGAGTTGATACATCTTTGTTGGTGGGAAGAATGAAGGAGGGTTTGATGTTTTCACGGCATCTGGCCTATTTCTTGGAGGCCCCACCAGGACGGGTTTGTTTACTGGGGCTAACCAAAAGGTTTGGGGTAAATTTTAAAACACACACACATACGTTTGTGTGACACATGAATGCACTTGCTCCAAGTTTAGGAAATCACCCCACTACAACTTCACTCAAAAATTGCCTACATTTTGCTAATTTTAATGGCCATTTTGCTTAAGCTCTATAACTACAAACCCAATAAAAATGCACTTATTCTTTTTGCTCTCTGATTTACTATTAAATTAATCTCATACACTCTTTGTGTACCTCTCACACACTCAAGGTGAATTACTCAATATAAAATTCTTATGTAGGATTCTTATTTTTTTGCTCAATTGTAGTGAAGAGGAACAAGATTCTCAGCCTTAGGTGTTTCAAAAAATCTCCACCAATTCAAAATTCTGGTTTTATTTATAAATGCTGATTTGTGTTTTTTTTTTTTTTTTTTTCCCATTAAAGGAAACACATGGAACAGTCAGAATCTGTGAAATAATTCACATGAAAACAATTAAACATTTTTACTTGCTTTCAAACAGAGCAACTTGCCTAAATCAATTTGAATCACATTCAAATCAGAGAGAAACACCCGTTTTTTAACTCCAATCTCATCCTCAAATTTTCACTCCACATTTATAGCCTAATTGCTTCACCCCATAGCCAATCCAATAATAGATCCACAACATTCAACAGGTCAGAGTCCAAACTGCCAAGTGTTTTGAACTCAAAAATCTCACTTAAGGTTTTTGTTGGTCTGCCTATCTCTCATATATATTCTGACTCAAACCAAACTTAAATAAAAACCACCCATGGTGGTGTTCAAATAAATACAGAAGCAGTCAAGATCAGGATTCAGACCTTTCATGATGAAGAGTTCAATATTTAAAATTCCAAACTGCAATATTCAAGATGCTTGGATGAGAATCAATGATTTTTTTCTTTTTTTTTATGATGTTTTCTTTTCTTTCTGAGATGATGTGTTGTGTTGTGTTTTTTCGATGTTGCCATTGTGTTGAGTTTGTTGTAACTTGTAGTTGGAGGATGCAATGAACATGTCTGTGACATGTGCACTCCCTGGGTCTGGAGTCCAATGTTTGAACTGTGAAGAGGAGGCATGTCATACCAGACAGAATTACGATCCAAGAAGGCTAGTCATCACTCACTCATCACTTATCAATTCATTATCAGTAAGATAATCTCAGTTTCAAATTGGTCTTATCTGATCCATCAATCAAGTTTCAATCACAAAATCAACTCAAATCAACTCAATGAACTGGCACTGGCTTCTCCTGGTGTCTACTCCTCTTAGGATATCAAGACAAGTCCAAATCAACACCAAATCTTCAATACATATCAGTTTCTGTTTTATCTGACTCTAATTTCTTATCCCTCACTTCGAGGACCTCTTTGGAACACTTCAATCTTAGGTTTCTGTTGATTTATCATGGACCAACTTCAATCAATTCGCTTTCCGAAACCGTTGACATTCGTGGAACACCATTAGTGACAAAGTTATAGAGAGGATCCATAGCTTTCTTCTGAGCCAAAAATCTTCAAAATCCGTTGAGATTTGATAGAGATATTGTAGTTCAAAGGTGTGCCTCAAATCCAAGTTTCTTTCCCTTGTTTTGTGATCTTCAGCTCTAATGATTTCAAACGTTTCTCATCCACAAGACTCACTTATCCCTTTCAACCTTCAAAAAACCTTTTTAATTTTCCAGAAACCTCATCTTATTCAGATACGTGCCCATAAATCTCACTTTCAATCTTCTCAATCAGGCCTGGGGGCAAGCATCATTTGCACTCGGTCTTTCCATGTTATTTCTTCTGCCATCTCATTTGTAGGAGGGGTGCTGGGGGCAAGCATCATTTGCACTCGGTCTTTCCATGTTATTTTTTCTTTCATCTCATTTGTAGGAGGGGTGCTGGGGGCAAGCATCATTTGCACTCACCCCCTTCTACAGTGCCACACTTCCCACAAAGACACTTGTGTCACACAAACGTACGCGCGTACGTTTGTGTGACAAATTTTTGAGCAGGATTCCCAGTGAAGAACAGATTGATGCTGCTGTACACATGTTACAGCATGTAAAAAATTTCAAATATACCTTGTTTTGCATCCTAATTTGTGCCCTAGTGCTTTTGAAAACAATCGTAAGTCTGGCACAACTGCTTAGCAATCCAGGGCAAACTGGACTTCCTCAAGAGTTCAAACTCTGTTTCAACTGAATTTCTCAATGATCTCACCAAAACATAATACTTTTCTTGGAAATCATCTGCCTATAATATTTTAGGTCTCACACATGTTTTTTTTGGTGAGATATCAACTGTGGGAGATTATGTGGGCGATTTATGACTTGATTCATTGGTTTTAAGGGCAGAATCTTGGATAGAAGAGGGGTGATTAATTGGAACAACCGGTGGAGCAGATTTTTGGGAATTCTTCTCTAGTACATTGTAGGCTGTTGAAGAAGTAAGAGGTGGCTAAATTAGTCCGAGTATGAGGGGTTGATTATTGGAACATACATGGATGAGGAATTCCATGGAGAAATTGGGAGTCTGTGTTCTCCAATTTGGTGTGACATGCAGATGTATCACTTCCTGACAAAG